TGTACGAGGGACCCGACTCCAATCTACTGATATTTGTATTTTATTGAGTCCAGGCAAGACGTGTAAAGCTTAAAGTAAATAGCAAGCTAAAATTCCACAGCACATGGAGCAACCCAGAATGTTTCCTGCATTGTTCACCGGATCTCATCCACAACTCTCCCATTCCCGGGGCAGCAGAAAACCTAGAAGCTGCCATAAGGCAAGGACAACCTGTCAGAGCAGCCAAGTGTCTCTGTGGCACTCCATATGGCCCTGAAGGAACAGGAATATCTCCTCCTCGTTCCAAATCTGCTTCATCATCAGAATTACTCCCAAACTTGGGGATTAGACTTCATGTAGGAGCAAATTACTGTAGTTGTTGGAATCTGTACTGAAAAGATTTAGGGCATGCGATGGCCTAGTGATATTATTGCTAGACTATTAATCCAGAGACCCAGATAACATTCTGGTGACCTGGGTTCGAATCCTGCCACAGCAGATGGTGGAATTTGAATTCAATAAAATGTCTGGAATTAAGAATCTAATAATGATCATGGATCGATTGTCAGAAAAACCCACCTGGTTCACTAATGTCCTTTAGGAAAGGGAACTGCCATCCTTACCTGGTCTGGCCTACATGTGACTCCTGACCCACAGCAATATGCTTGGCTCTCAACTGCCCTCTGGGCAATTAGGGATTGGCTATAAATGCTGCCTATCCAGTGATGCCCTCATCCTGTTAATGAATAAAGAAAATAAAAACGAAAGATGCTGGAGATCACAGCGGGCCAGGCAGTATCCGTGGAGAGAGAGCAAACTATAGTTTCAGGTCTAGATGACTCTTTATCAGAGCTGACGTGAAGCTGTGATGAAGTGTCATGTAGATTCGAAATGTTGGTTTGCAGTTTCTATGGATGCTGCCTGATCCACTGTGACTTCCAGCATTTTTTGTTTTCGGTCAGGAATTACACTTCCCTTAGGATCAGATATCCCCACAAGTAGGTGACAAACCACCCTAGGACCTGCCTTCTTCCCAAAGTTATGGATTGAAACCAGTTTCTGGATCATAAAATAAATCTGGAATTGAGAGTCTAATGATGACCATGAATCCATTGTCGATTGTTGGAAAAAGCCATCTGTTTCACTAATGTCCTTTAGGGAAGGAAACTGCCATCCTTCCTGGTCTGGCCTACACGTGACTCCAGACCCACAAAAATGTAGTTGATTCTTAACTGCCCACTGGGCAATTAGGGATAGGCAATAAAAGCTGCCTGGGCAGTGACACCCTCATTCCATGAATGAATAAAATTGGTGAAGATAGTTTGGGAACCAAACTTTATTCAGCTATATTTATTTACAAAATGAAACTTGACCAGCACTTATCTCCTAACTCACACACAGTTTCAGTCTGTATCTACGTATATGTTGTAAAGGCTGTGTCTTTCTATCTTACTGTATTTTTTTGTGGACTGAAATGGGAAAACAACTGTTTTAAAACCAAGGAATCCTGAATGATCACTGCAGTTTTAAAAGCCGGCAAACTGACACTCCTGTAAGCATCATTTATATAGCTACTTGTTCAAGCAGTAGTTGGTATAGTTTGCAGATGGATTGGATCCAAGGGGTGTGCACAAATGGAGGTTCAGCTGGCAACAAGTAGCTGATTGGTCTGTGGAATAGTGACTGGTGATTAATGACAAAGGCCGTCTGCCTGCCAAAAACTATGATTGGCTCTCAGGTAGCTGAACAGCTTGGGGCTGTGAACAAAAGATTGAAAAGCCAACATATCTCTACCTGCTCAGGAGCTGTCTCCATTCTCCGCACTGAAAGGCAGTTTGTTTTTTCTTCTGCAGTTGCTGTAACTTGACTTAATAAGTCAGACCCCTTTTTATAATTATGAACCACTCATTCTGTGCTCCTTGAAAACCAATGAAAGCATCCAGAGAAGGAAGATGGAGAAATAGCATTCTGGTCAAAACAAGAACCATCTCAGCAGATCCTCTGAACAGAGACCACTGAACTGTATTCCCAGTTTAATATTTAATATTAACTGTATTTCCCAGTGGGATAAAGGGCTGTGGGGAGCAGGCAGCAAAGTGGACATGAGACCAGGAAGAGATAGCCATGATTATGTTAAATGGTGGAGCAGGCACAAAGGGCTGAACAGCCTACTCCTGCTCCTAATTCCTATGTTCCTATCCATGTTATATGGAGAAGCCCGGAACCCGAATTCCCATCCACTTATTAACTCTACCCTGATCCCCATTTCCATCCCTACATAGTGGCAGGTCCACATTCCCTCCCAATATTCAGCTATCAAGCTGCAGGTTTGAATTCTGCACTGTGCCAGAACTATTGTGTTTGAATCAACATCTTTAAAAACAAGAGACGTTCTGGTGTGAATTTTGGACCTCTTCAGATTAAACTTTTATAAGCCAGGAAGGACTTTTTATCATGTTACATTAATCTCTTATGTGTATTTGATCCCATTACTTTAATGCAGAAGCAAGATCTGAAGCTGGATTTTAAAAAATAATATATGCGTTTGAACCTCATTAGGATAGTCAAGCACACAAACTTATTAATCATGGGCAGGATGCTGCCATTAATTTTCTATGTGAACGGGGAGACACAAGTTAAATCTATCAAACTTCTACTTCGTCAGATTTAATGTAGAACCTATGACAGTTATTAAAGATTTTAATTGAAGTTAATGACCTGAGGGAGCTGTGCAGTGCGATGCTGCTTAATTTAGTTGTAGTAGTATTCGCAACACTGCAAGGAGCATAAAGTTCCAAAGTTTTCAGATTAACTTCATGAAGGCTTATTCCCCCATGTACCTGACAAAAACACTATCCATCTTACATTCTGCACAATAAGATTTATTATAATTTTAAGTTTGAATTTTTTTTTATAAAAAGCACTAACAATATCCCTAAGATATATAGATAATATCGTGAGGAAATGAGATATTGGTATGAATTTTTGCTCAGTTTAGCTTTTATTCCCTTTTGTAATGAATCAGCAGACTTAGATTGGGAAGATGGGTAAGAGACTTTTACATTGAATCACCTGCACACCTATAGGAACAGAAATACAGACATGAAAAGTGTCTGCCTGAAAAAGCAGGAACTCCATTTGAACCTTACAATCAGCTCCAACCCTATTCTGCACACGACTTCCTGACAGCACCTGCAGAACTCTCAATCAGCATTAAGGTATGACAAATATGTGGAAATTAACTTAAAGGACATGAGAAAATTGTAGCATATTTCTTGACCAATTTTCTCAATGTCCTCTTGGCTGTTTTTCTACCTTTCTAATTTATTCTTGGGATATGTGCCTGGCTGACAAGGCTCAATCCTAGTTGCCCTTGAGAAGGTGGAGGTGGAACTTCCTTTTGAATCTCTGCAGTTGTTTAGGTGTAGTTGCCCCCACAGATAGGTAGAAGTTCTGGGATTTTGACCCATTGACGATGTTGCCTAAGACCAACTGTGACTTGAAGGTGATGAAGGTATTTCCATGCACCTCTTGAATTTCTAGATGGTAAATGTCCCAGTTTTGAGAAATAATGTAAAAGAAGCCTTTGTTATTACAGTTCTTCATCTGTGTAGTTTTCACTGCAGGCACTGTGCAACGTTGGTGGAAGGAATGGATTCTAAAGCTGGTGAAAGGGAAACTGTGCAAGTGAATTGTTGTCCTTGGTGGTGTCATGGTTCCTGAACCTTGTTGCAGATGTATTTATCTACTAAACCCCTGGTATGATACAATTATATTTTGCCATCATGTTTTCTAGCAGGAATACCTTTTATAGCTTTATAGAGGAAGAAGAAAATAATCATTGGAAGGATATCAAGTCAAACACATTGCTGAAAAGCCATTTTGTGCCAACTGTTGGAACCCTCGTACCCACATCTAGAGTCAGAAAACTTGCTTTGGCAGAGGATTACCGCGTGAGGAAACTTATATTCTGAAAGCAAGCTTATTAGCAGACCAGATGGTACCACTAAGATACATATACACTGGATCAATATTAATGCTGGATCCCTCTTCAAGTATTCTAGCCACAATGTGTGTAATGCTTTCAATGGTATTGCTCGAAAGAATGCTAATGAGGGCTCAGCATGGTGCAGAACAGGGAATTTGAGCACAATTGTGGTGAAGAAAGAAGAAAGTTACATTTCTGAGTATTTTGATCAGACTTGTGAACAGTTTTGGTTGAGAAGATATTTTTGCCTTCTTTAAGCATTCTTGTTGTGCGCTCCTCCACCATTGAAGTTGGTTCTTGAAGCTAATTTTATTGTGCAAGCTTTGAGCTTGGATGCTTAGCAATTATGTAAGAAGTGAACCTGAAGCACTTGTTCCACTTGGAGGAATAATAACTCAAGCAAAACACTTCACTTGAAGTATTTCAAATACGTCCCAGTGAGACTAATGCTCTTCATATTCTCATATACATAACATGTATTACTAATGTTTGAAAGTTTGGTGAGGCTTTCACTGTCAGATTGAAAATAGTTCCAGTTATAGATCGTAATTGGCCCTAATAAAACAGATAGAAGCATCACCATGTTTACTTTGCTGCTTTTTAGAATGAACCAACCCCTTCAACCCATATTTGAGTACATTAAGCCTGAGCTGGCCCTCACAGCATGAATATAGCAGGTGGACTTTTTCTTGAGCTACTAGGGAGATGTCAACAGTATTAATTTTGAATTTTGTTAATCATTCAAAAATAATGGACACATTGAAATTTAAATAACAATGTGGAGTATTTGGAGATTGACATTTTTAGCAAGAATATAGATTTAAAAATGTGACTATCTGGTTTGTTAATTATCCTGTAAGAATTCTAAGAAAATTAAATTTAAAAATATGCCTCATTTATATAAATACAAAAAATATGCTTCATTTATATACTTCTGAAGTAAATAATACAGTAATATTACTGTTGCTTTGTTTTGTACCTATAATTTAGAGCCAATTATCTAATTTACTTTATCTCCTTCTCCCTTTGTTAGATACATTATCAGTGCCTCGATGGTCCCCACAGATTCCTCGTAGAGATCTGGGGAATTCAATTAAACACAGGTACGGTATATGTCTTGTCAAGCTTTAATAAACCTTAACCACGAGAATATCAGCTGTCATTGCACTGGCAAAACAGTAATGCCAAGCATTAGCTTTAAATCATTGCTTAGTTTCTTACAGTGCATTTTCCTTTCACTGTTAAACCTCAAGAAATCTTTGAACAGCGCCATAATTAGCTATGTCGGAGTGATCTCACTCCATTGTTACTACCAACTTGCTGGACTTCCTCAAAGAAGTAAATAATTCTCATGAAACTTGAGTAGCTACATTATGAGGGTCAAACTCATTAAATGATGTTTGACTTAAAAGTACCTTCCTCCCTCTTTATTTCTGTTTAGTTTTATCCCCATTTTGGTCTCACTCATCTCTCCATTTCATTTAAATCTCTGGTATCTCTCTCTCAAGATCATTTTGTCTTTTTGAACTTGCTGGGCTGAATCTTATATTTTCTTGGCTAACTCGGAATTGCATCAAAGTTTTTGGAGGGTTTCCTACCATGAGGCCCAATGGGTTCTCTCATCATATGTTACCAAACTCAGCTCATTAATTCCCTACCACGCTGCTATAGTGTCTCTCACGTCTGATTTCTGCCTCCGTCTTACTAGGCTCCTGGAACAACTCACCATTCAGTGGATTTCCATCTGGCCAATGACTGTTATTCCTTGCTCTCTGGCATCTGTAAAAGCCCATTGTGCACCCAGGGAAGCACCCTCAGTCCAGGGCTGCCTTGCACAATTTCTGACATGGTTCAGGACATGCCAGGCAAGAGGACATAGGCTGAGATTTCTTGAGCAAAGATGTGCCCTTGACTTGACTAATCGCTGCTGACAAATATGACAATATTTATTGCGATATAAATATCCAGGTTTTGTGTCTCTGTTAAACAGCAAGGCAAGAAGTGATATGAACCAGGCATCTCTGGCTGAGAGGGCAAGGTGCAAAAGGGCAAGGCAAGGCAGGGATGTTGTGAACATCCAGATGGACTTAGAGTAAAGTGAACGCTGTGAGAGTAAGTGAAGAATCTGGTGATACAGCCTGGTCTAATCCATGAGCTAAGTGCATGCCCCTGAGCGACCTTGCTGCAGCATAACAATGATAGTTGCAGCTCAAGGAGAAGCATTGAAGTACAGAAGTGTGTGAGTGGCTTGGAGAAGTGCCAGAAGGGTTTATCGAGGCAGGCACGTGTCAGATGCCAATATTCGTGAATGGGGGATGTATCCTGTGACGTTTATGCCTTATTTCCAACATGGGGTTCCTTCAGAGCAAACAGTGAACTGAATCCGGTAGGGGCTAACTCTGGTTTTCGTGCTGAACTTTCCTGACATTGAGCTTGTTTGGCAATTTAGACAAGATGGGAGGCTGAATTTAATGAGTGATTGCATCACAAATGATAATCACCATCAATTGGCAACTTGCTGAAGTCTAGCAAGAATCTCACCAGACCACTTGTAAAAAATATTAAAGATGTCACGAGTTGTTCCCTACATTACAATGGGCCTCCCAGCACTTGTTGCCTGATTGTGCCACACATCTCGCCATAGCCTACATCGCTCAAACCCCTACAAGTTTCTACTCCCCATTTCTCTAATTTATTTCTCAGTATTTCAGATTTGTCCTCTCTCCACTTCTTTTGCCTGTTTTGTTTCTTCCTGTGTTTAATATTAATGTTGATTTTTCTTTCTTTCAATTGCGGGCCATTATGCCTGTACATCTTGATGGGCCTGAACTCAATCATTGACTAAATCCCACTCCATCCTTGTGACATGTTGATGTTCTACATCAGCCATCCTTATGACCGCTGTGTAACATTCCCAATTAGTGCCACTTCATCTAACCTAAAGGAAATGTCCAATACATAAAAGGAATGTTCTATCAGAGAGTAGCAATCTGTAATGATCAGACTGTAAAAAAGTGCGAAGAGTTGTTACTACAGTGCGGGCCAAGAGTGAAAATTGTTTTAACAACAAGCCAAGAGCAAGCTGTTCTCACCAGGAACAGTGAACTCTTTCTGAGAATAAATATCTCAAAATGTTTCCGATGACTTTCAACCATTGCCAAATTAATCCATCCCAAACACGGCCAAGATATTTCGGTCTACTCCCATGTTTTTTTTGACAAAGGAATAAAGTTAAGTTTAGGTTTTGAAATACACTTCAAGTTCAGAATTTTGTTTTCTAGAAATATGCCTTGACATTTATAGCATTTAGCAGAGAGTAATCCCTATAGTGTAATTCCCTCAGTTTTCTTGAATAGAACTACTCTAGACTTTGCTGAACTAATGCAACATCAGCCAGAAAAATGATTAGTTTGGCAGTGCTTTTTAGAAAAAGAAACCTTAATTTTAAAATTTTCTCTTTTAAACTATTTGGAAAGAAAAAAAAAAGCATTTCCTTCAATACTTTTCAATATTTTCTTCAGAGTTTCCTTTATTTTAGGATTGTAATGGGTCAGTATATTTGCTGTTGACCTGTATTTTGTTGCAACACATTAAATGATTGCTCATTCTTCTAGTGGCAAGCTAAATGGAAAGAAAACTTAATGTTAACTCAGCTCTGTTGGATAACATTGCTCACATTCTTTTAACCCCTGATCTCCCACAAAGTGTTAATAAAGTTCCACACTGACAATAAATATTTTGAGCTTCTGTTTGTGTATGTCCAGATCATTCTTAAAAAGTTTGTTTTATTATGTTGCTGTATTTATTTTTCTTTCATAGAATTCATAGAATCCCTACGGTGTAGAAACAGGCCCTTCGGCCCAACAAGTCCACACCGACCCTCAGAGCATCCCACCCAGACCCCTCCCCCTATAACCCACCTAATCTACACATCCCTGAACACTACGGGCAATTTAGCATGTTTGTATTCATGTTTTGTATTTTTGCTTTATAGAAATGCAATGCAAATTATTTGTACATTGCATTAAATTGTTTTGTGTTTTCTTTCTTAATTTCTCCAGTTGTGTTTGTGATATATGCTGAGATATACTTTCAGCCCTCTAATACATTGCATAATTTGATTCTTGAAGCGTAGCCTTTATTGTGATTGTTTTGGGGTGTTTGCACGCAAGACCATGAGCCTAATTTTCCAGTCAATGGATGTTGGTCATTTCTTTACTTACCTTGCAATGCTGAGGGTGTACTGCCGGTTCTCCCTAAATTACTGAGATTGTCTAACCTGGCACAGAAGAGGGATTTATCCATAAATGCGCTTAATCTACCTGTTTCAGCACAATACAACTTAAAGGGAAGTTCAGTTTTGGTTCATACATGTCACATGAACAAAGGAGAGCTGGTAATTGGCAACAGAAGGTGCTGGAGGGGAGTCCAATATATTCCTGCCATCAGCGATTGCAAACTCAGGGTACACCGGCATCCACTGTCACCATCTGGGCAGTTAAATCCTTGGTCTGTGGGCGGGTTCCATATTTGGGCGGTGGGGTGCGCTCCTTTGTGATCGCTCCATGGCAGCTCTAGTGTCTGCAACATTGTTGCAGGATGGTGCACCCACCCCAGATTGCTGGAACCTGTCTCTCTAACCCCGGCATGATAATACAGGTGACTTTGTCTTTGAAAAGGATGCCTGCATCAGTTGGATAGGAGTCCCAGTAGTCTTTTAAGTTGGCTACCATCATGAAAATGCTGCCCATGGTCCCACCACCCACCAGTCCCAGAGGTGCTGGAGTCGCCACTACCTTCTGAGAAAATAGAGTCCATCATTTCTTTTGATGAGGTATTTACTCAGTTTGTTTCAACTTCAGTTTAGCTTGCAGACAGTACATGGGCAGGCAAGGGTTACAGGATGAGCAAAAAGCTTTTAAGCTGATCCTGCTGCATTTTAGCTCTCATTCCTTACACAAATCAGATTATTACCTAAAGGTGACAGGAATCCCTGGGAGCAAGGGTGAAGGCAGCTGGCAGATATCGGAGGGATCCACAGGAACAGCCCCTGGCACATGATTTGTGCCATTGGAAAGCTCTCAGGGTGGGGGGAGTACCCGTCAAATGGTGGGGACCTGCAGTGGGGGGTGGTGGAGGGTGGGTTTAATGGAGCCAGTTTCCTCCTGTGTTTCTACTCGTCCTACCGCACAAGAAATCTAAAAGAAAGATTGGCTCACTGTGGGCCCTCACAGGCAACGGCTACTGTCGCCAACAGGTTTGACCTTGAAGCGAAACTATTCAACACTTGGATTGGGGTTAAAATGGCTCATTGGGTTTTGTTGATAGCACAATGATGATAATAGAAAGAACCTTAAGAAAGCGATGCTTATTACCTGCATTTTAAAATTACAGCCAGTCAAATTGGGAACGGGTTAGACCCCTGCTTCATTCCTGTCCAACCACTTGATTTCTGCAAAACAAGACAGAAAGTGAAATCAATGGAATGATAGATGATGTGTGAAGGACACAGATGGCTTGTATTAGTTATTATTGTCCAAGTTATTTATGGTGTGTTCTTAAAGTTCCTTCTATGTCTGTTCAGAATTTGTTGTTGTGGGCTATTGTACTCATCAGTTACAGTAATGTGCATCTATTCTTGAATCAGTTGTTGGTGAGCCTGTAACAGAAGCTATTGTGAAAACATCTGTTAATTTGATAAAAAGTTTTCTTACAGTTTGGGGGAGGAATAGACTCAGTGGGCCATGTAGACCTTTTTCTCAACTTCTGTTGATTGCAGTTCTAATTTTTTGGGAACTTTTTCCACAGGGTTTCCCTCTGCCACTACCAATTGAATGGGATGCAGCACCATACAGTCTGCAGTTAAGAGAAGTGAGAATTTTGGAGCTTTTTAAGCAAGTTTTAAGGGATGTGTCTGCAGTTCACCTCAGTGGTGAACTAAGTTCATCCCTGTAACATATTATCCCAGTAGAGATGTCCTTTCAAAAGTCTAAAATATATGCTGGATTATGCCATTTTTAACATTATCAAATAATATGCTGATTCCTTCAAGACATTTTAAAATAAATGTAACATTTACAAACTCACAATACTTCAAAGTAATGTGTCATAAACACCTTACTGTGAGTTGTTTTACAGTTTACATTGTACAAATTAATACTTGATCACGTGCTTTTTATTTTGCTTTACACCTTTCCTGGTCACTTTAGTTTTGTTTGAATCAAATTAATAAAATTGATTTTCGTGTTTGATTTTTAATTATTTTTCTTGTAGATTTTCCACCAAGTATTGGATGTCTCAGACCTGCACAGTATGTGGGAAAGGGATGCTTTTTGGCTTGAAATGTAAAAACTGCAAGTACGTAGCCAAACCAAATAATTTGTAATATAACTTTTTTTCTGATCACGCTATCGGTAATGTAAAAGAAAAAGAAAGACTTTGATGCTTTATAGTCAGTGAAATAAATTTGAAGCATACTACTGTGGGAGTTGGTTAGCTCAGTTGGCTGGATGGCTGATCTGCAATGTAGAGGTACCAACACTGCAGGTTCAATTCCAACAGCAGCTAAATCTCACCTTCTTAACCTTGGCTGAGGTGATGTGACTTTCAGGTTAAACTCACCACCAGTTGTCTCTCTCTAAAAAGAGACGAGTACTCTGGGATTATTGTAACTTTACCTAATATGGTTTAGGACAAGACTGGACAGACTCAGCATGGATTTATGAAAAGAAAATTCTGCATGCCAAATTTACTGGAATTAGTCCAGGATATAACTTATAGTTGATCAGCTGTGATCATATTAAATAGCAGAGCAGGCTCAGTGGTCCAAATGGCCTACTCTTACCTCTATTTTCTATGTTTCAATGTTTAGGAAACACAAGGACCTATTTGCACACAGTAAGCTCTCACAAATAGCTGTGTGATTCTGAACATTTTTAAAGTGAAGTTGAGGAATAAATTAAGGCTTTGCTTGATATTTGAAATAAATACTTTGGATGTGTTATGTAACAGGGCCCTGTTTTAACATTTCACACAAAAGAAAGCACCTCAGATGCTCAGTCTTTTGCCTGATGGTGAGAGCACCACTCTTTAGCCATGCCTCACATGTGGAAATCATTTTAATATAAGTGGATAGGCACAGTCTCACTAAAGTTAGGAAATAAATAAAATAAAACATGGCCTTCCATTCTTGACTAACATGTACATATGACTAAATGTAGTGTTTTCTCATAGAATCCCTACAGTGTGGAAACAGGTCCTTCGGCCCAACAAGTCCACACTGACCCTCAGAGCATCCCACCCCTATAACCTACCTAATCTACATATCCCTGAACACTACAGGCAATTTAGCATGGCCAATCCACCTAGCCTGCACATCTTTGGACTGTGGGAGGAAACCAGAGCACCTAGAGGAAACCCACACAGACACAGGGAGAATGTGCCCGAAGGTGGAATCAAACCCGGGTCTTTGGTGCTGTGAGGTAGCAGTGCTAGCCACTGAGCCACCATGCCACCCTATGTCTAGCCCCTGTCTAACCAATGTCTATCTCCCAAGTTTGTTTTTATTGAACAGACTGACGATGAGGAAGTAGTAAAATTATATTATGTCTATGATTTTTCAAACGATGAATTACAAAGTACAGTATTAGTTGTATCGAGAGGAGGCACCAATGGCTTGTGAGGTAGGATAATCAGATTGCATTCATTTACTCTGAGTACACGCTTGCAAATTTAACCTTAGAGAGCATGTTGTGACATCCAAGGAACACAAGATAAATTAGACTCAACATTTTTAATTTAACATCAGCCTGAGTTCAGACTGTATCACAAAGGGTGACGAAGTCATGCCGAAATCATTTGTGCTGTTTATTCCCATGTTTGCAATTTTCCCTTGGATGTTAGAGGATGAAACTCCTTACAGTTGTTCCTGTTTTGCTGTGATGCCATCTGATGTCCACAGCATTTCCCAGCAATGAATGGGGAAAAGTTAATGAGTTAATTTATACCTGTGTAGTATTTGAAGCCCTGGTGTAATCAGATTGGTGTGTCAACGCACTACTAGTAGCAAGGAATTATATCTTTTTTATATCTGCTAAATTTACATGTAGCAATTTACCTCTTACCAGAACAATCAAAGAACAATGCACTAATTCATACATTAGGTGACAGAGGCATTAACACCTCAGCAAACTTTTCACCACTCACTCCACGAAAATCATATAAGCACATTATCCATTTTGTCAGCGTGCAGGGTATCAGAGATAGCATGCATGTGGCTATCCCTACTCTTACACCAACTCAACATCTTAATGAGCAGAAAAGAACACCTGTCACTGGTTTAATATTTTAAGACAAGCGGCCGCTGATTTATGGTGGAACATACTAGCAACATGTTGAAACAGTGATTCAGATAGTTGCATAGATCAATGAGGCTGTCATACAGTATACATCTGCCAAAATACTAAAGCTTGCAATAGGTGTCAGTTTTGCCATTGCTGAGGTCTTAGCAGGTGGATAAATGGGTCCAGCTCTGACCATTGGCAGAGCAGGACACTGAGCCCTAGATACATATTTTGAACTTTAGGGCGTACTATTCCGAACACACACAGCTTAGCCGCACAGCACAAAATTAACAAATTACCTCCTTATGTCTACTCCTTTCCTGGTTTGGAAAACTGGCAGATTGAATGTGATTGGTGTGTATGGAACTGCAATGGAGAGGTCGTCTTCCTATATATCATCCCATTGACTTGATCCGGGGTAGAATCCCAGAGTTCCCTATCTAGATCAGAAGCTAGAATATGGAATGGAATTCAACTACCATGAGAATCTGCCCAATGCCCTCCATCCTGCCATTTTCCATTGGTTTTGGGAGACATGGGCTGGTATTCTGACTGACCTTTCTGTTTCAATGTGGGGGAATAGCTGATGATCTTTCCCAGAGGCGCTGGCTTGGCCCAGTGTGTATCATTTCAAGGGAGTAATTGGTGAATACCTAATAGGCCAATCTGCCATCACTATCAGCAAGTGGATTGGCACTGTATTTTTGGGAAAATCTAAACACATGATGAACCAAGCTAGCTTAAAAAATAGACAACCTTTAGAAAGTAGACAACAGAGACAACTATGTAAGCATGCCATTGACGTTGATCTAATATTAAATCATGTTCCTGAACAAATATTTCGATGTTCCTTTTTTCTCCAGATTAAAATGCCATAACAAATGCACCAAAGAAGCCCCACCTTGTCATTTACTCATCATTCATCGTGGAGGTGAGGTTTATATATTTGTATTTTGTAATATTTACTTCTGTTTTGACTTTGAAATGTTCCACTCGTTGTATCTCTGTTATTAAAAGCTGGAGACAAATAGAGTGATTATGCCACTTCCAATTTTTATCATTCAAGTTAAAAAGGACTTTGTTATTTTTGTATGTTCACTCTCTTCTGTCAATGAGTCACTGGGACCCTTACCAGTTCCCTTTCCTTGCTTTCTTCTATTTAAAACATGTAGCTCATTTGCGACTAACTCTGTGAGGGCTTTAGCTCAGATTTGAAAAACCTTCTGCATTTATTATTAAGAAAATGAATTGAATTAACTGACTGTTGTTTCTTTCAGTTTTGTAAACAATACAAGTGTATTTTCCTTTATGTTAAATTATGGATTTTATTAAGTAAGGCACGGTACACAAAATTGATTTTAAGATCAAACAGAACCTGCTGGAAGTGCTCAGCATGTCTAGCATCTCTGTCAGTGTTCACATCATTAGTCAACATCTGGGGTCTACACATGCACAGTAAACGTAGAAATCCAGAAACTGCTGTCAGTAATTTTATTCATCTTCACAGGGTATCACTCGAAAGCCCCTCAGACTATCAGTTTCAGTGTATAAGCGCTTATAAAGACTACACCTTGTTGAATGAATTAAACTGAGTTTGTAAATGTGTTTTAAGTTTATAATTATTGCTAAAAAAACCTTTATGGCCCAGAAACCAAGTTTGTTGAACACAAAGTTTCTCCATTAGGATAAAAGTAACCACATTTTAAAAATAATACTTCTAAAATGTTGTTTATGAAATATTAGCTTGAAACTTTATTATGGATGTTTGAACCAATATTTTATTTTGCTATCTCTAAAACCTAAGTAAAAATAAACCAGTGCATTTCTCATCCTGATTTGCTGTCTATAAGAAACCTTCAATATTATTGGCTGTTTACCCTCCTGATGACACCATTGTTGATTGATGTCTCGAAATTCCCTTAACTTGGTGCCAGATTTTGAACTAATGCCAAAATAGGGGAAATCCACACCACAGAGATTGCTGGACCTTGGTGAGCAGCTTTTGTGAGGTCAGTGGTGAGTGCTGTCACTTTGCTACTGAGCATCAAATCCAGATCACCATGACTATCAAGCCGTTGTACTCCCAGCTATCACTATTCATGAGCATCCTTGTGCTAAATCTGACTCCCTCATTTATGACTGCACTACCATCATAAAGAAACCAGATCCAGTACAGTGCCCATCCAGTACTGTAGCATTATATATGCAGCCTCATTTTGTTTGCTTTGAATAATACTTTCCTAACCATGCCTGTAAAACTCAAATGGAGCAAGCTAAGAAATAAAATCCATTGTTTAATCCCTAAAGCAAATGTTAAATAAGAAAAATAGAGCTACTTTGTTTCAAAGTCATTGGGCAAATGTACCCAAAATCAGCTTTTATCATCTGGGCGTTAATTTGAAAGCTATAAATGCAAACTTGCAGTGATTCCAGATGCTTTTTATCCTTGCTGCCTTTGTAAGTAGTAATTGAAACTAATCAAACTACAGTTATTTGTGTAAATGCAGCCCTGAGCTCTGGCAACCTGGTCCTTCAGGCTGGAATAGCAATTTGCACTTTTGATGTTATTTCTTTGCTTGCTCCATTTGAGTTTTACGGGCATGATTAGGAAAAGTACTATTCAAAGCACCACTGCCTGCTTGAAAAGTCGCTTGTAAATCAGAATACCAAGATCTATTCATCTCAGCATCTGAGATAGATGCACGTTTGCAATATATCTCCAGCTTCCCATGAATGGCATGTACAATTAGAGGTCCATGAAGTCAAAACAGCTCGGTACAACTGCTTTAATAGACATTTCACCAATTCTTAAATTATTCCAACCACAAACGTTTTTTTCTATTACATGGCCTATAAGTAGAGGACTGAAGATCACTGACCAGGGTGGAGTACCCCTATTTGCAGAGATTAATGCACAGGGTATTCCTCCAGGGAAATTAATAAATGTCACCAACATTGCAAAACTTATGCCTCAGTGATCCAGAGATTTCCTGGCCAATCTATAGGAAAATTCTAATCATCTTTTAGCTTTAAAAGAATGCATTTAAAAATTCAATTTGTTGACCTACTCTCTCTTTAGCAATAGATTTATCAAAGAGTCATACACCATGGAAAAAGAGCCTTTGGTCCAACCAGTCCTTGCCAAATATAATCCCAAACTAAACTAGTCCCATCTGCCTGCTCCTGGTCCATATCCCTCCAAACATTTCCTATGAATGTACTTATCTAAGCATCTTTTAAATGTTGTAACTGCGCCCACATCCTCATGAAGTTCATTCCACATGTGAACCACCTTCTGTGTAAAACATTTGCCTCGTACGTCTTTTTTAAATCTCTCTCCTCTCACCTTAAAAAAGTGCTCCCTATTCTTGAAATCCCCCATCCTAGGGAAAACACACCTGCATTAACCCTATCTATACCCCTCATGATGTTACAAACCTCTAGAAGGTCGCCTCTCAACCTCCTACGCTCCAGAGAAAGAAGTCCCAGCCTATCCAGCTTTTCTTTATAACTCAAAACTTCCATACCCAGCAAAGTCCTGGTAAATCTCTTCTGAACCCTGTCTAGCTTAATAATATCCTTCCTACAACAGGGCGACCAGAACTGGACACAGTACTCGAGAAGAGGCTTCACCAATGTCCTGTACAACCTCAACATGACTTCCCAACTCCTATACTGAAAGGACTGAGCAATGAAGGCAAGCGTGCTATATGCCTTTTTAACCACCCTGTCTGTATGTGACGCAAACTTCAAAGAGTTGTGTACCTGAACCCTTAATCCCTCTGTTCAACAACACTATCCAAGGCCCCACCATTAATTGTATAAATCCTGCTCCTGTTTGCTGTACCAAAATGCAACACCTTGTATTTGTCCAAATTGAACTCCATTTGCCATTTTTCAGCCCATTGATGCATTGGATCAAAATCCCTTTGTAATCTTAGAAAGCCTTCTTCACTGTATACTATGCCACCAATTTTGGTGTCGTCTGCAATCTTACTAACCGTGCCTTCTATATTCTCATCCAAATCATTTATATAAATGATAAACAAAAAGGGACCCAGAACCGATCCCTGTGACTTCAAACAGTAAGTTGAAGATCCCATGATGCAATTATACAAGCAACTGTGACCTATAGTTTTATTTTAAATAATAGTTAGTTTCTACAGATTATTTTTAAAAACGCAACTGGAAAATATTGGCCATTGCGTGTGGGTCTTTTGATTAAGAAATGCTTAGATACCAGAGTAGAAGCAAGCTGCCTTGAAGTTTTGTCATGCTCGTGAAATGCATTTGAATTTGTACAAAAAAGTTGCATTTAAAAGCCAAATTGTAGCCTGCTAACTCAGGGAGCCATTTTGAAAACTCTCCTCACCCTTTAGGCTCTGAGTTCATAGAAAATTAGTAATTAATATTGATAACGGAATAATAAAATTAATAGTTTCCCTGCACCGGAAGGTTCCACTTTGAATTTTAGATCAGAGTTCATGTAACCCTAAAGCAGGGATTTCCAAATGTTTACCCACTGAGATTCCATTTTTAGGCTTGAAAGTTATCACAACTTCTTGTGAGAACTGGAGAATAGTGAGAACATTTTTGAGAATGGGTGGGAGGGAAAAATGCATGAGAGCAGGGAAGTGGAGTTTGGGTTGGCCATTGCTATAACAGAACTTGTGAGCTAAAAACTTAAACTGGTAGCCCCACTGGTACCTCAGACTCCACTTTGGGAAACCCTGCCCAAGGGTAGTTATTCGAATAAATGAAACTGATTTTCTAATCAATGGTACCTTGTTCTTTGAGGGTTTTGATATGGAGAGCAAGCATTGCTAGTAAGCTAAGTGACTAATTATGGAATAACTCACTAAGTCATATATCATAATGGTAATATGTATAGCTTTTTCCTCACTTGTAGCCATCTCTGATTTTCAGCAAGACTTGTGCGAACAGAATCTGTGCCATGTGATATTAACAATCCACTTAAGAAGCCTCCTAGGTACTCTGATCTGCACTCCAGCCAAACACTGCCTAAAACCAACAAAATTAATAAGGTAGGTCATTATACTTGCTTATAGTTCACCTACAACAGGCAGATGTGTCAGTAAAGGTATTGTGATTGAATATTACACAAATAACCATGATATTTTTGGTAAAAATCAGGCAGGCAATTCATAATTTTAATTTTATGCCCAGGCATCCGGCTTTAAAATCTACTTCTGTGTTCAATGCACTGATATCTTAGCGGTGAATAATCGTCATTTATGTCATTTATTCAACAGCATCAGCTAGTGTTTGCATTCTGGCTTTAATGCATTAAAGTATTCATGGTATGTGATCCAACAGAATATGGCACCCAGCCAAAAAAGAGATATTAGGACAGGTAAACCAAAAGCCTGGTCAAAAATATATGTTATGAGGAATATCTTAAAGAAGGAGAGGGAGGTAGATCGGTGGAGAGGCATAAGGTTATAATTCTAGAGTCTTGGGCCAATGTAGCTGAAGACATGGCCGCCACTAGCAGGAGACGGAAATCAGGGATGCGTAAGTATCCAGAGTTGGAAGAGCAAGTAGATCTCAGCAGGCTGTCGGGCACAGGAGATGCCAGAGCTATGGAAGGCATGAGGGCTTAGAGAGATTTAAATAAGATGAGAATTTCACTTCCATTTCCTGTTCCCAAATCTCCTGTGACAAACATAGTTCATTTTGCCCTGTCTTGCGTCAGCAGTTTGAAAAACAACTTAAATGCAATTTATTCTGATTTTTTGTAAATTGTTTGGTTATGTGGTGGAGAGAAGAATCATAGAATTACAAAATAGGTATAGCACAAAAGGACACCATTTGGACCAGTGTCTGGCTTTCTGAAGGAGCAGTATAATTAATGCTGTTTCATTTAGTAAGTAATTAATAATTTCTTCTGAAGTTTGGGTTGTGGGAAACTCAAAATTCAGAAAGTCCTGCTAACTCTTCTAGAATAGAAAAAGATGCGTTCTGTTTTATTTCATTGTCGTTCTGGTCAAAATACCCTTCACAAAATATAAGAAGCTGCTGAGTTGAAATTTCTGAAAGAGAAAATTTGGTTTGAATTTGTGAGAAAACAGTTTAGATTAATTGGGCTCACAGAGTGGGAAAAGCACCGAGAGAAAACAAAATTTACAAAGGACAAACTTAATTGTTGGACTTTTGGCACAATCTTATAGTGTTGTGAGAGATGTGGGTTTTGGCGAAAAGTGTGGGGAAAATCTGGTTACCAGTGTTGCAAAGCCCATCCCAACGTTGAGATCTTTTAATGCCATCTTCTGTGTTTTTCACAAGTGGTGCGAGATTATAGTTAGGCAGAGGTGACATAGCGATTGACAAGGATTGAAACTTGTTGAAACCTACCTGCCAGCTCACAGAATCCCTGCCATGCCTTGTCTTGCCTTGCCACTTAGCACAATCACAAGAACAAGCAGCTTGCCATGCTGCTGAGAGCCCTCAATCTGGAAGGGCTCACATCTTGCTGTCTAGCAGTGTACTGTTGTCAGTCTCAGATTTGTTCCATGTGCCAGCAGCTAACATGGCAAGTTCACTGCATGTCTAGCAAGCAGGCAGCCACGTATTCAACTTTTAGTCCTTCCTGGGACTTCTGCAAAGTTGTGAGGTGCTCTCCACAGTGTGTCTACCCACGATTATAAGTTTTTCATAAGGTTTCCCCTGTGGTGTCAGTGTCTGAGCTGGTGGAGGTACAGCCTTGCCAAGGCTTCCTCTGAGGCCTCCATACTGTCATCATCATCATCATCATCAGAGATCCAGGAGGGCATTCCTGTGGGAATTGGGCATTTCTCCACAGAAATTCTGGGGGTGCTCGCAGAACCAGCAGAGAGAGGAGATGCCAAAGCCCCGTGGTTAGGTGTGTTGTGCATGATTGACAACATGGTTACTGGGACAGTAGCAACAGAATGAGGGAAGGTGCTTAACCATTTGGCAAGATATGGATCTCCCAGCACCCCCCACTGGAGCAGGCCCAGTTTTCTCCAGCGTGGGCCAGGGTTTTCGTTTCATAGGACACACCCCCACCCGCACCCCCACCACCATTACCACCTGTATGGGCTTGCTCGGCCCTGTTACGAACTGTCTCCTGTAACAACAGAAAGTGGGGTCATGAGTGAGCTAACAGTGAGAGGTATGGCTGTTGGTGCTGGTGCATATAGCTGTAGGGTGGAGAAGCTTTCTGAACAACTGAAGAGGCAGAACAGAGGGCATGCAGGGTTAGCAGTGTGGGAGGTTACTGGTGGGGTGGTGCTGAAAGCGAGTGAGGGAAGGTATTGCATGCAGTAGTGGAAGTGGCAAGAGACTTGGTGGAAGACGCGTACTGTAGCAGAGATAGAAGAAGTGTGAGGTGGCAGAAAGCACAGAGTGGCACTGACCCTGGCAGAGCAGAGAAGATCACTGAGCTACTTGCAGCACTGCTGGCCATTAGTCCGCACACCCTGGAGACAGGTGGCAATTTCAGACTAGGTGGCAGTAGTTTGTGGCATGACTACTTCTGCTGGTTCTGATGGATGAAGACACATCTCATCTGGACCAACCCATCCATCAGGACCTCAGGTCCCTGTTAGAGAATCACAGTGCCATCATCCCCTTCTCCACCATGTACTGACCCAATCCTTGATCAATCAGGGCAGTTTCAGAATGCCACTGCTCATCCAGGTGGAGAGTGGCCTTTTCAAAATGACATGGACATAAGGCATGCAGTCTTTTGGCAGGTATCCGCTGAATGACATGTTGTTGTGGGAATGGCCATTGTAAGATGGGGCAGAAATCGGACATGGATGTTGTAGGGGCAATGTAAGTAATTAATGAGGCAAGTTGGATAAGATAATGTGAGAAAACCCACTAATTGAACTTAGACTTAGCCAAAACAATGCAAGATTCAGCCTATTGTCTTTTTCTTTATCCTTCTTTATTTGAGGAGTTAGATGTCTACATAAAGCTTCTAGCTATATTATTTCTGTGCTTATTATGTTGTTTTTAACAAAATGTAATTGTGATTTTCCACTCTATTTGATGATTTAGGAGTTTTCTGCTCAGGAAAATAGATTGATGTGATAGTTCAGGACAGTGTCAAGCTATTTTGGCTGAGCTGTTTCAGACATAGATCTGACCTATAAAGTTACCTCTATTGAGTAAGAAATGCCTTTTTCCTAAAATATTTCTACAGATTTAGTTTGGGTGCATGATAAATTCGTGACATAGAAATGACCACAATTTATGACCTACCAAACAGTTGCAAAATGTTTCAGGAAAGTTGCGATTATACATAAATAGATAGCTTGTGATATGATCACTGTGACATTAGTGATTGCTTTCAGTGGGTAAATTAAGCTATCTTGAACGTTAGACTTGCTGAACTACACAATGTGACTGCTATTCTGGCATTCATGAAACGAGCACAAACATTCTCCAATATGAAACCTCAGATCTGTAGTAATTGTAATGAGGTCAGCCACATGGACCTCATAGAATATGAGTTCCCCGATTGGGGCTGTTAATCTGCTCCAATCAGGGAGCCCCAGCTGACAGATATAAATAAAAGTTTCAGAGGTTCAGCTCACTCTGAGAGATGGCTCTGAGGGAGCTGGATAAGTGTCAAGGGCTCTCCAAGTGTAAGTACAGAGTAATTTGATGACAGGATACCAGCCTCTGTGGAGGTATTCCAATATCAACATCCATTCCTAAACGAGATCATCTGTTTGGGCATTGCCAGGTCTATCTGTTTCGGCTCTGCCATTCCATGTCGCTGACACTGTCTAAAACAAGTTTGTGATGAGAGCTCCCAAATTAAGCTATTTCAATTCTTAACTCATTCCAATATGTTTTTACATAAATCCTGAATTCAACCGACTCTGTCCTTACAATTATTCCTTCCTAATGGATAAATTACCCTCTACATGCACCGGAAAGATAGATGCAATATTTGTTTATGCCCATTAAACTGGCAATACATTATCACAGTATGCCGACTATAATAACTTACTGCTGCTGTACTGCATAATTATCATCTGAACAAGGGGAAACATTCTATAAGGTCTTGTTCAAGTTGGCTTGGTGCTCTCTGGAAGTGAGTGGGGCGTTAAATATAGGTTATTGAGCAAATGATGGTCTCCCACTGAAACAGCGACTGTATGTCATAAATCTAGTGCCACCGCACTGTGTATTCTGCCGTTAGTGCAAGTAAACACTATCAAACCTAGAGAGACGGTGGTTTGTTATAATCTACTGATGTTTTCTGGCAAGGCCCTAAAAGCTACATGGATCTTTGATATGCTTATTTTTATGACAAGGAAAGTCACACAGAGAAGCAAGCATGGAAGCAGACAAACCACTAGCCTGTGTCTCTGCAGTTTCAGTGATTTTTTTTCAATTCTGATGTGATGTTTAGAATGGCAAAATGCTTAAAAAAAAGAATAATTGATATATTGTTCCAAACATTATAACAGACCTCAAGCTCAAGGGAATTCATGTAAGTTATATCAATTCTTTGGAAATGTCTTTGACCATATTTATATCTATTTTTGAATCATTGGTTATATTTCCACTTTTTATTGGAAAAATATTAGTATTTTCTCATTTTTATTCTAAGCACAGATAAATGCTTAAAACAACTTAATAACTTGATTTGATAAAGCAAATAATTTGCTTTCAACACATTCTATAGTTCACACGTTTTATGAAATCGGACAACTGTCTTGCCGCTTAATCACTTTATGTCAACTGCTGCTAAGGTTCCTCAGGCGTAATTATATAATTTAAAGTATAAATCTCAGCTTGATCTTCAAAAACATCTTTATACGTGATAGAATTTCTGTAAAATTACATCAGATCGGAGCGACATTTTAAAAAGCAAAAATTCTGTTGCTCTGTGAGCTACATTAATGGGCAAGCACTTAACACTGTCATTTATTACTGAATTCAAGCTGTTTCTTGCTGAAAACAGGATCCAGGTTGCTACAACTTCTTATAGTTATGAACAGCCTGGAAAGCAGGAAGAAGTTTAGCAGAGTCACTGTAC